ACACCCCCCACCAGCACGGAAGTGACGCTGGAATGACTTCGGTCATTGTTCCTTCTCTCAGAGTTTGCTTTCATCTCAGCCCCAAAATCCAGCCTCTCTGCCCTCAAGGCTTCTTGCCAGAGGGGTTGATTTAAATAAATAGCCACGCCATCAAAATGTGCTGGCTCGCATCTCAGTGGTAGAACCATTTTCTTTTTGTGCGTGAGTCCCAGATTTCAAGAGATCTGGGCAGTGCCCAGGCCATCACCTGAATGGGACCCAAGAAAAGGGGGGAAACTGCAAAGGAAGAGGGACCGGTGTCAGCGGGGAGCAGTGTGTGCGTGCTCAGCCACTGGTCAGCTGCGTCCGACTCTTCGCCACCGCATGGACTGCAGCCCACCAGGCTCCTCTGTCCGTGGAATTCTCCAGGCAGGAACGCTGAGGTGGGTTGCCGTGCCCTCCTCCAGGGGATCTTCCCAACGCAGGGACTGAACCCAGGTCTCTTATGCCTCCTGCACTGGCAGAAGCGTTCTTTACCACCAGCACCACCTGGAAGGCCCCATCAGTGTGACCTGTGAAAAATGTACCCCGCCCCTACTGTTTTCCAAGAAAGGAAAAGGCTACATATATATATAGAACAAACATCTTTCTTGGCAGAGTTTGCCTTCAATGTTTTCTGCCTCCAGAGCAAAAACTAAACTTCCTAGTTCTAGCTAGAAATTTGTCTTACAGTTACCATCCCCACGACTCTACGTGAGATCAGGGGACCAAAAACACCCGCATCTCCTGGGAACCAGAAATGCAGACTCTTGGCCCCATTCCAGACCTACTGAGTCAGAATCTGCACTTTAACAGCTTCTCCAGGAGATTCATACGCTCCTTAAAGTCCAAGAGGCACTGTGATCCTCACCCACTGTGAACATTTTTTAAACTGAAGTGAAGTGAAGTTGCTCAGTCGTGTCCGACTCTTTGCGACCGCATGGACTGTGGCCTACCAGGCTCCTCGGTCCATGGGATTTTCCAGGCAAGAGTACTGGAGTGGGTTGCCATTTCCTTCTCCAGGGGATCTTCCCGACCCAGGGATTGAACCCTGTCTCCCGCATTGCAGGCAGACGCTTTACCGTCTAAGCCACCAGGGAAGCCCTAGCACCATGTAATCTGAGAGAATTAGGAGGTATTTCTGTGCCCACAATAGGCTGAGGTCAACCATTCACAGGGAAATTGTAAACAAGAAAGTGCATTGATCTCCATGCACTTAGCAGTTAAAAAAAAAAGAAAAAAACCTCTGACACCTGCTGGGATGTGTAAAAATTGTATTTTTTCTTCCTTTTTAAAAATATTTATTTGATTAGGCTGCACCAGTTCTTAGCTGTGGCGTGCAGGCTCTAGTCCCCTGACCAGGGATCGAAGCCAAGTCCCCTGCATTGGGAGCTAGGAGTCTTAGCCTCTGGACCACCAGGGAAGTTTCCTCATCCTTTTCTTGTTTGACTTGTTTGGGCTTATTGGTAAAAAGCAGACTGGGAGTTTTTTGTTTTTGTTTTTCGTATTTTTGGAAGACAAAGGAAGCATACTTTGCTCTCAGGCCTAACAGACATGGTAGACAAATTTTAAGAGCTTTTGTAAAATAAGTAAGTAAACCAACGGGATGTTTAATGTTAGTTATCTCTGTGAAGGAGGGGTGCTCTTTAGCTGGGTATTTGTGGGAGGCAGCGAGATATGCTCCTAGTTGGCTTTCTGTTGACTTCCGAGCATCAGTGGACACACCTTTAAAATAACCACTATTGTATTGTCTTGCAAGGGGCTCCCCTTAGACTAGACCTTACAAGTTAACAGTTTATGACTGTTTATAACTCTGTATAACTTCTGTACTTGAGGAGGGCAGAGGTGGGGAAAGGAGCTTTGCAGAATCAGAGGTTCAGTGGGGAGGGATTGGCCTAGTAACTCCCATTTAAACTCGTGTCTAATTTTCTTAGATATTAACTACATAGAATAACATATAGGTCAAATCTTTTCCACATCATAGTTTCTTAAACACTAGACTACACAGAATATTAAATATGTACAATCTCCTCCCCAAACGTTAATCCTGAAGATCTGACTGTCTTAAACATTTCTATACCTAATTCAAATTCTTCTCCAGGTTGAAAGATAGTATTTTTAAAAAAAGAAACTATCCTTTCGAATTACCCAAATTTGGGGGTTGTCTTCCCATGTAATTTGGGGTGTTGGAATATTCGTTGGATTCCCGCAGACTCTCTTAAGGAACACGCTGAGTCTTATTTATAGTCTAGAACAGAGACTTGGACCTGCCGCTCCCACGGCGATTATAATCTATTTCAGCCTCTCCCAGTCCATAGCCCGTCTTGTTGGTCTCTTAATAGATTTTGTATGTATTTGGATCTTTGAGAAATATGTTTCCTATCTTCCCAGGATTCTCTTCTTAAACTTCCAACCTCAGGAGCACACAATGCTTTCCCCACCTCTCCTCAGATTTATTGCCATAGAGTCGAAATATAATACAGTGTAAGTTTAAGGCACACAAATGTTCTGATCTGATACATTTACAAATGTACCAAAATGATTACCCCACAGTAGCTGACACTGTCCATCTCCTCACATATGGTGAGGACATTTCCAAATCTATTCTCTCAGCAACTCTCCAAAATATAATACAGTGTTGTTAACCACAATCGCCATCTGCACATTAGATCCCCTGAAGATAATCTTATAGCTGAAAGGACCACACAGTATTTAAGGGCTCTGATTAGATTCTGGACCAAGCCCATGGCCTTACATGACAATCTGGTTACAATGCCCAAGTCCATTCTATTGACAAACTCCAACACTACATACACACACACATACACGTATACACAGAGGCACAACAGCCAAGGAATATAGAAATAATTATGAAGGGCAATGATGTCCAATTTCAGAGTTAAGGAATATCTTTTACATGAGAAGGGGAAATATACAAATTGTCCTGCTTTTTCAGCAGCTTAGTACAATTTTAAGGAAATCAATATATTTCTAACCAGACACAGTATATAACAATATGTTTTAAAATAATATAAAGAGAAAATTGACATCTGGAAGGACTCGGAATGTTTGTGTAATTGACTGGTTTCTTACTTGAGTAAGAACTCCTGCGTAAAAAGGGGAAATCATCTATTCTTGGTTCTTTGGATATCCATCTATGTAAAAGAGGAAGAGAAAATAACTCCCTTCCCCCCAGCAAAAAGTATGATTTTACTTTAGAACAAATCAGGAAAATTAAATATGCTGTCTCTATGATTTCCCTGCTTACAGACATTTTTTTTTTACCTCAATGTCATAACTTGTATATATAAATATACTAAGTGTCTCTGATGAAACTGAAGGACTTTCTACTTCCTGATAAGAATTTTGGGGACTAGAGCACCAAATTGTGACCAGTGGGGAGTGAAAAGGGAAGGCTTGCATAAGACACTCCTTGAGATTTCTAGAGTCACCCATGCCCTCCGTCAGTTCCCATATATTCAGAAGAGTCTTTGTGGCTGTGGTTTCTGATGTCACTTTACAGTGGGAGGGGACTCTTTCTGGGATGCTATTTTTAGCTGAGGTCTGTTTTTGTTTTTAAGTCACAAGTTTCCAGTTCTATAATGTTATTCAGCAAGTAAGTCTCCTGTTTTTTGTTTTTTTATACCCACAGGCTCCTAGATAACTAGAAGAATGTAAACGGATTAGGTAAGGTTAAATGTGTATAAATCTCATGTAGTGTATTATTTGATTGCTATTGCCACCATATAAAATAAATGTTGTTTCAGTTTTACAAGATTTGACAACTGACCTTAGGCACATAGCTGGAAAAGTGGGACAGAGTTGGGATTCAAACTGAGAGTCTTTAAGTTTCAAATTCAGGCCAGGTGAAGGTTCTTCTTGGGGGTTCACATCGGCATCTTATGAATTCCACTGAGGAAGGTTAAGCTCACGTGGTTTGAAATTATTACAAATGTCAAATTACCATAATGTAACTTCTCCTTTGATTACTCAAATGACGAGATATGTATATGCATAAAGTCTCAACCCACTCCAGTATTCTTGCTTGGAGAATCCCAAGGACAGAGGAGCCTGGTGGGCTATGGTCCATGGGGTCACAGAGTCATATATGACTGACTCTCATGTGACACAGCACTCATAAACCCTAAAATAACTTTATAAGAGGATCTATTGTACTTATGGGTTTCCTTGGTGGCTCAGTGATAAAAAATCTACCAACAATGCAGGAGACATAAGATACATGGGTTTGACCCCTGGGTCGGGAAGATCCCAGGGAAGAGGGCGTGGCAACCCACTCCAGTATTCTTGCCTGGAGAACCCCATGCACAGAGGAGCCTTAGTGGGTATAGTTCATAGGGTCACACAGAGTCATACACGACTGGGATGATTGAGCACATTATACTTATATTCGGGTTCATTTGTTGCTTGTTGTTTATTCGATCTTCAATTGGAGCTATTCTGGAAAAGTGCCCTTCCAGGTAGACTTTGTAATAAATAGGCTGTCATACTTTCTCTTTAAATTTTTTTTTCTTTTCTTTTATTATTTTTGGCCAAACTGTGGCATGCGGGATCTTAGTTCCCAGATCAAGGATAAAACCTGGGCCCCCCTGCAGTAGAAACTTGGGAGTCCTAACCACTGAACCACAGGGAATGCCCATGGGCTGTCATAGTTTCTGATGGAATCCTATCTGTTTAGAATTTTGCCCCGAAAGGATTTATCTCAGAGAACAGTGAAGTTATTGGGATAGGAAGCTTTCTTGTGGCCTCCTCTGTCTTCTTTAGTTTGGAAGTTTTCTAGGCTTTTCTCCTTGTTTTCCAGGTTTTTTTATGGAGGACAGAATTTTGGAACAAAGTCTGGACTCTCATTGTGGGAGACTGAAGGTCCTGTCAATATAATGCCTGGAAATACTCATGTCTGAACGTTTGTGTAAATATGAGGAGAGGGCCTTGTTGTTTTCAGAGCTGTTTCCCGCCCCACCTGGATGCTAAGAAGAAGAAGTTTGGAAATTTGCGCCCACCTGTTTTATTTCCCTCTGGCTGCGCTGGCTCTTCCTTGGGGCTTCTCACGTGGCTTAGCCGGGAAGAATCCACCTGCCAGAGCAGGAGATGTCGCTGGATGTCTGGGTCGGGAAGATCCCCTGGAGGAGGACATGGCAACCCACTCCAGTATTCTTGCCTGGGAGATCCCAGGGGGAGCCTGGTGGGCTACCGTCCATGGGGTCGCAAAGAGTCAGACTCAACTGAGTGAGCACACTCGGGTCTTCACTGTGGCCCGCAGGCTTAGCTGCCCCACGCACAGCACGTGGGGTTTTAGTTTCCTGACCAGGGATCGATTACCAAATTCATGTTCCCTGCATTGGAAGGCAGGTGCTTAACCCCTGAACCACCAGGAATTCTTTTTTTTTTTTTTTTTTTAAGAATTAATGGGGGAACTACAGAGAACAGTGTGGAGATTCCTTTAAAAAATAAAAGAAACAGTTACCATATAATCCAGCAATCCCACTCCTCGGCATATATCTGGAGGAGATGAAATCTCTAATTCAAAAAGATGCATACAACCCCAATGTTCATAGCAGCACTGTTTACAATAGTCAAGACATAGAAGCAATCTAAGCATCAATTGATGAATGGACAAAGAAAATGCAATACACACACATATGTGCATGTATATATACACAATGGAATACTACTCAGCCATAAAAAGAATGAAATAATGAAATTTGCAGCAACATGGATAGATCTAGAAATTATTATACTAAGTGAAGTAAGTCAGACAAAGACAAATATATGATATCACTTATATGTGGAATCTAAAAAAATGATATAAGTGAACTTATTTACAAAACAGAAACAAACTCACAGAAATAGAAAACACATTTATGGTCGCCAATGGGGATAGCAGGGGAGGATAAATTAGAAGTTTGGGATTAATAGATACACACTACTATGTATAAAATAGGTAAACAACAAGGACCTACTACATAACACAGGGAACTATATTCAATATCTTGTAATAATGGAGAAGAATATAATATATACAATATATAGTATAATGGAATGGAATATATATACATTATAATGGAATATATACTGGAAAAGAATCTGAAAAAGAATATATATATATATATATATATATATATGCACACATACATATAAAACTGAATCACTTTGTCCTACACCTGAAACCAACACAACATTGTTAATCAACTGTACTTCAGTTTAATTTTTTTTAATTTTCAAAAAAAAGACAGTAAGTTGAGGAGGGAGGAGACATATGCATATCTACAGCTGACTCATGTTGATGTATGGCAGAAACCAACACAACACTATAAAGCATTTATCCTCCAATTAAATTTTGTTTTAAAAAAAGTAAAGAAAAAAAAAGAATTAATGGTAACAGCCAAAATTTTTATTGTGAAGGCCCAATGTCATAGGCTAAATATTAGGATCTCCCAGCTGGACATTACTTATTTAAGTGTCTTGAACTATGTTTTAATACTAACAGCAGCCGTGAAAGAAATAGTAAGAAAGAGCATAATCATTCAGGTCAAATTACTAATTCTCGATTTTTTAAATGGTGTAAAAACATCAAAAAGAAGGTTGCAAAAACACTTTAAGGAAAACAAAGCTTATATTCTTTACAAATTTTAGAAATAGTTGCCAAAATGTATATAACTCATTAGATTTTAAGAACAAACAAGAAAGTAGTGAGTGAGTGGTAATACCTAACTAAGAACACTAAATTTTAAAGAGAAATAGAATTCAGGATTAAAGTCATGTCATAAAACAGTGAAGAGAAGTTTAAAACTGGGAGTCTAGGGTTCTAACCCTCTCTCTGTTTCTAACTCTATATGATCCTGGGCAGGTCACTTCCTGTTTTTGGACTTCAGGGAAAATAATACTAAGGCCTGGCCCTTGCTTACTCTCTTTAGGGATCAGATTTCTCATCTGCATAGTCAAGGAAGTTTTGAAAGAAACAGTCTCCAGGTTATAACAAAGACTGTTTTCAAGGCAGCAAAAGTCTTCATCCTTCTCTTGATTTACATATTCATTTTCTCACCCACTTCCACATCACAAAGCAGCTCAATAAAAAGGGAACTTTTTTCACCTATTTCTACAGTAGTGAAATTCCTTTTTATTTCAACATGCTCTTTTACTTGAAAATGCATTTTTTTTAATGAACATATATAATAAAAGATGAATAACGTGCAAATAAAAAGCTGTCACTCACAGACAATCCCAGGTGTCATTAATTTTCTCCTCTCTTTGGTAATCTTTAATACAGTACTTCTCTTTTTTAAGTGAAATCTGGGCAGAACCATTTGCTGTATTCATAATGTTGCCATGTTTTGTTTTGTTTTTTATTAAAAATAAAAAATAGTAAAGAACGGGAGAAAGACATAATCCCTTTATCTTCCTTTTTTCTGTTAAATGTAAATATATTTTTTCTTATATAAGTAATCTGTTTATTTTAAAAATTTCAAAAACTTAGAAATATTAGAATTGAGAAGCAAAATCTTCTGTTATCTCATTCAACCCAGAGATAATTATTTTTAGTGTATAACTTTCCAGACTTGTTTATATGAATACACGAGCCTATGTAAACATATATATTTAGAATAAATCATAAGGCATTTCCTATTCTACAATCTTTTCACACAGTGATATATCTTAACAGCTTTTCATGTAGCTCTCTTAGACAAGTGGCATAAATAACAGTACACACCATTATTAATAACCAACCTACTGGCAATTCCCTGGTGGTCCAGTGGCTGGGACTCTGCTTTCACTGCCGAGGGCCTGGGCTGGATCCCTAGTTGAGGGACTAAGGTCCACAAACTGCCACCCCTGCAATTTCACCAAGCATTTGTCACTCATACACACTGTACCAATTATTTTATCCAACTTGATATTTGTGCTTCACTTTATGATACACTTTTGCATGTAGAGCTTTCATCTTTTTAGGCACTTAGAGTTGACTATCACTCCCTTTACAGATTTAGCATTGGTTCTATTCTAGGCAGGCCCTACCCCATCAATTATAAAAATATTTTCCACTGTTTTGTACTAGTATTTTCTTTTACCTCATTGTGGTCATCCATGCAGTTACTTCTTTCTTCTTCTTTCCAGAGGAAAACAACTTGACACAAACTGCCCCCTGGAAAGGTGATCAGATCAGTGGCTCAGTCATGTCCGACTCTTTGTGACCCCATGGACTGCAGCACGCCAGGCCTCCCTGTCCATCCAAAAAGATAATAAGCATTTACTTTCCCACCATCAGTGAAGAAAAATATGTTTTAACAATCTTTGACCACATTGCACATTGCCTTTTATTTTAATATTTGTCAATCTGTAAAGGAAAAAAAAATATTGCCCGCTTATTTTATTTCACAGTCTGTGTTTTTCATGAAACCATCTTTTATGATACGTGCATTTACAATGTTTGGTTTGTTTCCTCCTAAAACTGGTTATGTCTTTGCTATATTTTTCTCCTGAGCTTTGCTTTTATTTAATCAACTTGCAAGAATTTATATTTTTTGCAAGAATTTATATTTTTTGCAAGAATTTATATTTTCTAATACATTTACAACACAATTCAGAAAAAGAATCTGAAAGGTCTGCCTTTTTTTTTTTTTCATAATGTGTGTGGCAAATGCTTTGAACTGTACTTGAAACTGCGTGTGATAGGGACGAAGCCCTCGCTTGTGCAAACAGAGTTGTTGACCGGAGGTAAACATCGTAGTGGGGGCGGGGCCTGGAGAGAAGGGCTAAAGAAAACTTTCCCAACAGTTTATGGTAAAGGCCGGGACCAAGCAAACCGTCCAGCAACTCGGCCCCACAAAGTGCGATTCCTTCTCATGCTGACAGTCATGTACGGACGGGCTTCTCAGGGGCTGAGGCTGGGGCTCGCCCGCAAAGGGCCGGGAGAGCGACTGCTGGCGGAGACAGGAGGCCAGAAGGGGAGGCGGGCGGTGCAGCGTCTTAGGGGCTCGCTGAGCCCCTAAGACGCCCGTAAGATGCTCAAGGGGAACACCGTAGACAAAAAAAAGAAAGGAAAAAAAACGCATTTCGTCTCTGCTTTGGCTTATCCATGTGACCTATCGGTGAGGACAGAGAATTTACTCCATAAAAATACTGTGCAATATAAATGTGTTTTTTTCTCACTTAAGCCAGAGCTCTGGAGTCACAGGTGTTTGGGCTCCAAAAGACACCCCCTCTCCCCACGGCTACCCCAGCAATCACACACCATTGCGTTTCACTTACCAACACAGAAAACAAATGATTTTATCCCTTGCCTATAATGTTCAATGCCGGCCAACTTCAAAGCTCTGGATTTAGAATCCTGGCGCTCCCCGCAGGCACGCCAAGCTATGTGTGACATCACCGTTTCTACATCTACGCTTCATTAAATCTTGGCACTTAGGTACTAAGAGCGTGACGCTTCCTATCTTGCTGTGCTGATTTCCATGGATATCTGCACGTTATCTGAGTGGTCGGCAGGCACCAGGAAATAATTGCTCTTTATACTTGCTGCAAGTACAGAGTCTCAAGACAGGGATGTCAGATGAAGTTTCCCTATTCGACCTTTGTCACTATTTGCTCCACTTCTGTTTGTCACGAGCCTGCTCACGACACTTTCATTTACTGTTTCCTGATTACCACAGGAGGATGATTGGAAATGTTCAGGCTGGCAATCACCATGTGTCCATTCACCTTCAAGGTTACTGAGTTTCCACTCGTCTCTGCTTACAAAGTCAAACACCCCTGCAACCAGCATCCACAAATGAACTGGAGTGCAGTGGTCATGGGTGTGGACTGAACCTGGAAAACACTACTGTGTGTGTTAGTCACTAGTCCAAATCTTTACGACCCCACGGACTGTAGCCGATCAGGCTCCTCTGTCCATGAGATTCTCCAGGCAAGAATACTGGAGGGGGTTGCCATGCCTTCTCTGGGGATCTTCCCCACCCAGGGATTAAACCCAAGTCTCCTGCATTGCAGGCAGATTCTTTACCATCTGAGCCTACATAATATACATTAAACTGAATTGAGTAACCAGCACACTCTGCCACTTGTCACCTTCCTGAGAAAGCTCGTGATCACTGCCTTGCAAGGGAAACATGACTTCATCAAATCAGGTATCATTAGAAAGTGTGGTCGAAACTGCCCTGGTCAAGGGAGCGTGTGCACACCTTCCCTTTGTTGACGCTATTTCACCTACCGTGTTTTTTTCTGTGGCACTGAACTGTGATCAGTCTTATCTAAAGATGAGGTTAAGTCAGGGGGAAGAAAGATAAGTGCAGGGGTGGGAGGAAGCACAGGTAGAAGTGGTCTGGCTGGAAAGTACATTACCTGCTGCCTGGCGGTGACAGGGTGTAAGCTTCTAGAAACACTCTGCGGAGCTCTGCTTTGACCGAAAGCCACTTTAGTGAGCAGCAGCATCTTTCCTTTATGCTATGAGTATGATAGAACAATATCACGGCATTTTTGTTGTTTAGTCATAAGTCATGTCTGACTCTTTTGTGACTCCACGGATTGTAGCTCACCAGGTTCCTCTGTCCGTGGGATTTCCCAGGCAGGAATACTGGAGTGGGTTGCCATTTCCTTCTCCAAGGGATCTTCCTGACCCAGGGGTTGAACCCGAGGTTCTTGCATTGGCAGGTCAATTTTTTTTTTTTTTTTTTTTTTTTACCACTGAGCCATCAGGGAAGCCCCATATCATGGCGTCATTTGTGTGATAAACCACTCTGAGAAGGTTGTAAACTCTGGAGGAGCTAAGTCTGTGTATGTGGACAAAACTAGCCCTGTTAAGGACTTTTGCCTGGATTAATTACTCAATAGCTGGGTAACTTGGTTGGGGGCTATTGGCGTAAGAAATTGGGACCCCAGGAGTGGGAAGGAAGGGAGCTGGTTGTGAATATCTGCACTGTAAGGGCTGAAAAAACTCTGTTTTGGACTATCGGTATATACTCAGGAGAGTCGCTGTGTGCTAAGCTTGGACTCTCCCAGTGGAGGCTTTTCCCATGTCAAAAGCAGCAACTCACTATCCACCCTTATAACTTTCAGTTGAGGAACTTCTGTGTAACTGAACCATTTCAGGCTATTTTCTACCTTTATGGAATCTCTGAGTGATGTTTAATTCTATTTTTAAGCCTGCACACCTACCCCAAACTCCCCTTTTCTTTTCTAGCGACAGTATTAGGTCATCAGAACTTTGTTTACTAATAGTTTCCCAAGTTCCTCTTATTCATCAACAACTCTGCAGCCCCATAATCCCTTTATAAGTAACCCCTGACCAGGCTCTTTAATCCACCTTATCTCACTTCTCCGGTTTGTAAATGGAGTGTTTTCCCTTGAACTTCTTGGCAATCAAGCCTTCGGTTTGGAATGTCTTCCACTTACCAACATATTTATTTTTAACTCTTGCTTTGGCCTTTGAACAGATATGTGTCATAAAGTCAATAAACCCAGGCTGGATACGCACACCTTTCCAGAGCTGCTTAGGAAAAGCTCGCGCTGAGGACTAATCCTATCTGTGATGCAAACTTTGTTTACCAGACGGTCAGCCCTCTGGAAGAACATTTTGCATACAACTGAAGGTAAATACAGGAGACAGCTATGCTCAGGGCCGCGGTTCATTGTGATGGAGATGGCTTGTGTAAGGGATCTCTGCAGGTGCAGGAGGCTTTGGAATGTGCAGAATGGCTGCTGGCTTTGTGCAAGTCGCTTCCAGCAGGCTGGGACTTTCCACCAAGAGTATCTATTCATCGACTGTGGACAGAACCAGACCTCCATCTCAGAGTTTCCCCCTCACTTCCAGAGGGCCTGCAACTCTCTGAAAAGGAACGCCAAGGGTGGATTCCTCTCCTTTTGGTACTGAGAAGGGGGTGCTCAACTGGATGGTGCATCCTTTCGCGATAAGAGGTAGTCTTCTTGTTCAGTCACTAAGGTGTGTCCAACTCTGCGACCCCATGGACTGCAGCACGCCAGGCTTCCCCGTCCTTCACCATCTCCTGGAGCTTGCTCAAACTCATGTCCATTGAGTCAGTGATGTCAGCCAACCTTCTCATCCTCTGTCACTTCATTCTCTTCCACTCGTCAATCTTTCCCAGCACCAGGGGCTTTTACAATGAGTTTACTCTTCCCATCAGGTGGCCAAAGTATTGGAGCTTCAGCAGCAGCCCTTCTAATGAACACCCAGGGCTGATCTCCTTTAGGATGGACTGGTTTGATCTCCCTGCTGTCCAAGGGACTCTGAAGAGTCTTCTCCAACACCACAGTTCAAAAGCATCAATTCTTCAGTGCTCAGCTTTCTTTATAGTCCAACTCTCACATCCATACATGACTACTGGAAAAATCATAGTTTTGACTATAGAGACCTTTGTTGGCAAAGTGATGTCTCTGCTTTTTAATGTGCTATCTAGGTTTGTCACAGCTTTTCTTCCAAGGAGTAAGCATCTTTTAATTTCATGGCTGTAGTTATCATCTGCAGTGGTTTTGGATCCCAAGAAAATAAAGGCTGTCACTATTTGCAATGATAGGAGGAGGCTTTTAATAGTGTTTTGGGAGGGAGCAGGAGGGACAGTCCCCCAGCTGGGAAGACATAAACAGAATCTCTAGTAACCGCTGTGATTATAGCCAGAGAGGCCTGGTCCTGGCGCTAATTACATGGGCCCAGCTCAGGCTGAATGTGCCCCTGGGACCAGAGGAACTCTGGGTTCTTCTTTACTACTTAGGCCAGATGTCTGCCGGCACCCCAGAGATAACCAGCTCGGGTCCTGGGCTCTGGGTCACTAATTACGGGCTGTTTCTGACATTGTCTCTGCATGAGCCAGACCTGAAAGTGCTGTTTACCAACCAACTTTATCTACTTAGAACAGAGAGCCACCTCTTTCTATCTTGATTTATAGCCCAGTAAACACACGTTATAGATTCTCTGCTAGAGACTGAAATTATCTGCAGGAAGAACCCCCTGCTCATATCTTCAGAGCCTCCGGGTTTAGCCCTGTGGCTGGAACAGAGAAAATATTGATAGTTCTTGACTGGATAGAGCGAAATGTGATTGCAGTGAGCTGACACGGTCTCTCCAATTATTGAATAATCATTGTGACCTGTGATTGATCTCCAGGTGACTCAGTGACAAAGAAGCTGTTTGCCAGTGCAGGAGACGCCAGTCTATGCAGCAGACATGGGTTCAATCCCTGGTTCAGGAAGATCCCCGGAGAAGGAAATGGCAACCCACTTCAGTATTCATGCCTAGAAAATTCCCATGGACAGAGGAGCCTGGCAGGCTACCGTCTCTGGGGTTGGCAAAGAGTCGGACACGATTTAGCACGCTGATCTCCTAGGAAGCGCCTCAGCGGACATATAATCTCACCAGTCAGCGCCATCACCTGGCAGGATAGACAGAAAATCCTCTTTCGCATAAAAAAAGACTGTTGCTCAGAGAAGTTAGGTGACTGGCCTACAGTCAGAAGCTGCAAATGGCAGAGCCAGGTGGTTCACTTGTGTCCAAGGCCCTTGGGATCATCCGAGAGGTGGGCTCTATCAGGCCACCTGCCCGAAGTTGCTGGAGATGGACAAAGGGAGGTTGGCGTCCTGACCCCTCCAGCCTAAGCCCGGCGGCGGGGAGCAGGCGGGGCTGGACGGGGCCGCCTCGTGCTTGATGTCGCTGCCCAGCACGTTGCCCTGTCCTGGAGGAGTGTAAGCCTCGGCTGGCTGCCCTCCCACACCCGGGCAGCTGCCATGGCGATGCATCAGCGTCTCGGCGTTGTGCCAGGGCCGGGGGACACACAGGCTGCCTGCCTCTCGCCTACGAGCTCTGCAAAGAGTCAGAGCCACCAAGAACTGGCATTCAGTGGGAAAAAAGTGGAAGAAAGCCAACACGCCTGTCCTTGCTGAAATTCAAAGTCAGTCCTCAGAGACAGGAACACACGCATGGAAATCGCGCGAGGCCTCTGTTTCGCTCCCCTCATTCTGCTTCAGCCTCAACTTCCGTCTGAGGTCTGCAGGACCATCAGGGGGTTGTGGTGAGTTCCCCGGAAGTGGCCGGGTCCGTGCTCGGTGAAACCGTGGGTCGGGTGGAGGTCTCCTTGCTCGGCCCCTAGAATGGTTGGTCTCTTGTTCTTGCCCTTCTCTGCCGGAGTGCAGAGGTGCCCGCGCGGGCCCTATCTTCATCCTCAAAGCCCCAGGGGATATACTTCTGCACCAGAGGATATTCTTCGAGGCATTTAACCTAAGAAAAGCCTCTCCTTCTAGGAAGAGGGGCTCTCTCCCCTCACCCTGCGCAGTCGCAGAGACTGGATGAGTAAGAGCTGATGAGCACGCCGACCGGTTCCTTTAAAAGCTCTCATCTGTTAGCTACTGTTGCCTGCTGTCACCTCCAGCTGCTTAGCTGCTAGAGAAGCAAAACTGGGATCCACAGCAACCGGGGGACGAGGACACAGTGACCAGGTCCCTGACTCTCCTCACGGCCACGCAGGTGCAGCAGCAGTTAGCAGGCTGTCCTCAGAGGCAAGGCTTCAGGCTGTGGCTCAGCCGTGACATGGCCCTGCGACCTCACCTGGCTCCTTAATCTTAATTCCCTTTGCCTCCAGAGTTGGGATAACAGTAGCTCCTACTCCTTGGGAAGCTATATATTAAAGGCTATAGACATAAAGCATATTATCTGCTCAGTAGCTCCTGTCTATTACTATCACAAGTAGTACTGTGAAAATTCTTATCCTGTAAAGAATACGCTAGAATTTGCACCTAACTCTTAATCCATCCACATCTTCCATCCACCTCTTTGCTTTGGCTCAGTTGCGGTAAAGATCTCATAATATCTCAGGCTCTGTAATGTTATACTTATTCAAATACCTTCATATTCATTATCCCAGCACCTCTTGTGCTCAATCAATATTTTTTTTAGTATTTTATTTATTTATTTTACTTAATTATTTATTTGGTTGAACCAGGTCTTTATTATGGTAGGCAGTAGGATCTTTGTTTGTGGTGGGGGGTCTTTAGTTCCCTGGCCAGGGATAGAACCCAGAACCCCTGCACTGGGAGCAGAGTCTTAGCCACTGGGCCACCTGGGAAGTCCCAGTCAATATTTATTTTTACTTTTCACAGCTGTCTCAGGCTACATATGGGATAATGATGGTGGCACGTTATAGGGGAGGAGAATCTGCTAGGAGCTTACAGTTGGGGCTGTGCTCTGTTAGTTTGCTGGGACTGTCATAACAAAGCACAAGAAACTGGTGGCTTGACATGAGAGAAATGTATTGTCTCACAGTTCTGGAAGCAAGATCCAAGATCAAATGGCCGCAGGGTTGGCTTCTTTGAAAGGCTAGTGAGGGAAAAACCGTTCCGTGCCTCTGCCAGTAAACCTCTGGTGGTTTACTGGCAATAGCCAGTGTTCCCTGGCTTCTAGAAGCATCACTCCACCTCTGGCCTTCATCTTCACGTGGTGTTCCTCTGCGTGAGTGTCCCTTTCTCTGTCCAAATTTCCCCTCTTTCTAAGGACGCAATCATACTGTGTTAGAGTCCACTCTAAAGATTTCATTTTCACTTGGTTACTTCTTTTTTTTTTCATTTATTTTTATTAGTTGGAGGCTAATTACTTTACAATATTGTAGTGGTTTTTGTCATACACTGACATGAGTCAGGCATGGATTTACATGTATTCCCCATCCCGATCCCCCCTCCCACCTCCCTCTCCACCCGATTCTTCTGGGTCTTCCCAGAGCACCAGGCCTGAGCACTTGTCTCATGCATCCAGCCTGGGCTGATGATCTGTTTCACCCTAGATAATATACATGTTTCAGTGCTGTTCTCTCAGAACATCCCACCCTCGCCTTCTCCCACAGAGTCCAGAAGTCTGTTCTATACATCTGTGTCTCTTTTTCTGTTTTGCATATAGGGTTATCGTTACCATCTTTCTAAATTCCATATATATGTGTTAGTATACTGTAATGGTCTTTATCTTTCTGGCTTACTTCACTCTGTATGATGGGCTCCAGTTTCATCCATCTCATTAGAACTGATTCAAATGCATTCTTTTTAATGGCTGAGTAATATTCCATGGTGTATATGTACCATAGCTTCCTTATCCATTTGTCTGCTGATGGGCATGTAGGTTGCTTCCATGTCCTGGCTATTATAAATTTCACTTGGTTACTTCTGTCAAGACCCTATTTCCACATAAGGTCACATTCTGAGATACCAGGGTTAGGGCTCCAGTGTGTGGTATTGTTGTTTAGTCACTCAGTCGTGTCTGACTCTTTTGTGACCCCGTGGACTGTAGCCCTCCAGGCTCCTCTGTCCGTGGGATTCTCCAGACAAGAACACTGGAGTGGGTTGCCATTTCCTTCTCCGGGGCATCTTCCCGACCCAGGGATCGAACCCTTGTCTCCTGGATTGGCAGGTGGATTCTTTACCACTGAGCCACCTGGGAAGCCTGTATATTTCCTGAGGGGGACACAATTCAACCCACAGCAGTAACCTGCCGTGAAATCAGTAACCAACCCTGAAACTATGATTGGAGAGGAGCGAGCCAGGGGTGGAGGCAGGAGAGCGCTGGTGGGCGTGCCTGGGGAATCACGCACCACTGGTCTTGTAGCCCCACTGGGCTGGAAAGAACGAAGAAGGAAGATGGGAAGCCAGACCCAAACCTTGAAGGGCCCTGATTCTCCCAGGGAGCAGGGAAGCTTTCAATCTGGGAGAAAGTAGGTCACAGAGCATCGTGGAGCGGCTTTGGGGGAGCTGGCTGGCCGGCCAGAGGAGGGACCAGTGAGAAGGCTCCTCTCTGTTCTGTGGGCCACAGCTCACGGGGGACAGCGAACAGGTATTTATTTATCTTCGGTGGTCCTGGGTCTTCGCTGCTGCGCGGGAGGGCTCCTCTTCCTGCTGGTGCACAGGCGTCTCACGGCGGTGGCGTCTCTTGCAGCTGAGCACGGGCTTTAGGGCACTCGGGCTTCACTCGCTGCGGCTCGTGTCGCCCCTGAGTGCTGGCTCAGTAGTTGTCATGCTCGGGCTTGGTTGCCCCAGATGTGGGATCTTCCTGCACCAGGGATCACACCCGTGTCTCCTGCATCACCAGGTGGATTCTTATCCACTGCCAATGGCGATTCTAGCCCCCAGGGAAGTCCCAGTGTTCGGATTTTGGAAGATTGCTGGCCCAGGGCGTCAGTCACACAGAGCACTGTCTGGCCCCTGCCCACTTCTCAAGTGGCGGCTCTGGGTCCACACGGGGGGTGTCACAGCTGAGGGACAGCCGGAGAGGAAGAGTCGGGACTCAGGACGCCGAGAGGGCAGGCGGGCCGCCTCTGGAGCGTGCGCCAGGCAGCGAGCCCACCACCTGGGCCCCAGGGCCACGTTCGGGTGTCGGGAGCAGGACTTCTGCACCCAGAATGGGGGCTGGCACGGGAGAAGCTAGGGAACTCTGGAGACTGATGGTTTATCAATCATCCAGTACAGAAAGAAAGATGGAGGCTCAACCCCCAAGGCTGCAGAGAAAAGAGGGAGCCCCCTCTTAGGAATCAGACAGAAACTCAGCTTGGAACCTCAGCACGAAGAGTTTTTATCTTTTTGGCTGTGGGATATTTATTCCCCCAGCAGGGACTGAACTAGGGCCCGTGGCAGTGAAAGTGTCTGGCCCTAACAACTGGACTGTCAGGGAATTCCTTACAATGGGTCTTCAGAGCCAGACCTGGTGCCCCGGTGACAAAGGAAGGAAGGAAGGAAAAAGGAAGGAAGAAGAGAGGGAGGGAGGAGAGGATCCTTCAAGGGCATGGCAGCCTGAATTCCTGCCTCTGTAAGAACTGAACCAAACACTGCAGTCTGGCTTTCAGTTCAGTTCAGTCGCTCAGTCCTGTCCGACTCTGCCACCCCATGGACTGCAGCACGCCAGGCTTCCCTGTCCATCCTTTAACCAGAAGGAAAACAAGCTCTGCGCTGTCCATCTATTGCTTTTTTGCTAAATCTAGAGCAAAATCTAGTTCTATGGAGCTGCAGAGAGAACTTGTGGAGGGTGCAGGGAACAAATGTGACTTCGAAATGCAACCTGGTGACCCTGAGCACTGTAAGCAGAGCCGAGCACTGACGTGCCCAGGTGGTCAGGGCTGGGGACCAGAGCCCTCCTGCCTGCCCTTCATTACTTCTGATTGGCCCACTAAGACTCCCTCAGACCAATAAAGCGCCTGGGAGCCAATCCAAGCTACCTAACTCCGAACTACTGAGGTGCCAGCAGGCACTAGGCTTATAAATCAGTCTTTTACTATCTGGCTGGCTTAGCCAGGTCTCCAAAAGGAACAGTAAAGTTTTATGATGCACTTCAACAGGCTGATCTTCAGAGCCAGGCTTTGTCCTGGATGAAATTTCCCCCCTGCAGCCATCAAGGTCAGACTAGATCACCCAAACCTTGCATTAATGCCACCGGTTGGTGGGCTGAGGTTAGATGGTCGGATCTAAAGAGTTCGCATATGATATAGTGAAATATCATCTTAATGTACACTTAGCCTTTTTGTGAGAGGTATAACTACAACGAATTTCTGGTTGCTCAGTCTGTTATTGTTGCTTTTTTTTTTTTAACTGTTTAAAATTCCACCTTAGGGTAGGCAATTTGAAAATATCATTGTCTCATTCCTCTGAAAACATTTTTAATTTAATTTTTTATTTTATATTGGAGTATAGTTGATTTACAAAATTGCAATAGTTTCAGGTGTACAATAAAGTGATTTGGTTATACACGTACGAATACCCACTTTTTCAGATTC